CAGCTAAGATTAGTCTTTAAATGCCCATGCAAATGTCTTCATGGGGCGAAGGGAACAAGTTCCTGTTGATAATTATCAGCTGTGGAAACAAACATACCTCCCTCCTCCCTCCTATATCTCTGGTAACTTGGAGCCAGTTCTCTGCGAGGAAGGTTCTTCCAACCCAGCTCTCCACTCCATTGCCTCCCTGGCAGTGCCACTTCAAGATGCTTTATGGATGTCCCGCCTGGACAGTGCTGAGGGACACTGGCCCCACCTCAGCTGCTCAGCCACCTACACTGGGTGCTGACTCCCCCTTCCTGGTCCCACTTCTCTTTGAAGGAACAATCTAAAGACAGCAGCTGTGGCAGTGGAAAACTAAAGCAGCTAGGGACACAGATGTGGGACGCATGCAAAGCTGTGCAGGACTGGGAGATGCTTCCTGAGGACAAACACAGATGTCGCCTCACTGCATCTCTGTGCACATGCCTGGGATACCTGAGAGTGGGCAGCTTTCTGTGAAGGATACTGAACAGAACGAGGACACGAGGGCTGGAAAGCCTGATCCACATTTAGTAGATGATGCCATGGCTATTTCCGCATCAGCATATTGAACTTTAGCCTTTTCTTCCCTTTCAGCTAAAAATGAATGTTACCCAGAGAGGGCAGATGGGTGCCAGCACTTCTGTCGCCCAGGGCAGGTGTCCTACATGTGCAGCTGTGCAAAGGGCCACAAGCTGGGCAAGGACCATAAGTCATGCAGCCCAAATGGTGAGTTCTCACAGCAAGGAGCCGTGGCCCTCAGCCTCCTCCCTCCTCCTGCCTCTGTGCCTGTTTAGGGGTTGGGGCACTCTGGATGGTGGGGGGTAAGTGCTGACTCGGGGTTCTGGCCTCCACACAATGCTAAAGCAGTGTCATAAATGCTCTTCATGTCACAAGGCCTCTCACTCTGTTACACGGCCCCTCAGTAAGCCCTGGAGTGGGCAGCTCAGTTTCATTCTGCTGCCCCCGGGCACCAATGATCGCTAGTCTACCAGCATTCAGATGAGACATGCGGCTAGCACCACTGTAGACCCCACATCTGCTGGGGAGACACTGATTTTCTTCTCGTGTTGCCACTACAAATGAAGACCAATGTGCGTGTGGGGCCCTGACTTCTGAACACACCGTGACATCCGGGAGGAATGAGTGGAGGCCACCAAGCTTCCCATGGCAGGTAACAGTGTTGAGTAAACAGTTTCCATTTTGTTAGAAACTCCATTTTGTCATTTCTATCTTTGTGCCAAAAAGAGGTGACAACTAAGTGAATTAGGCATGAGACTTGGGTGGGCCCTACAGCTCTTATGGAGCACAAGTCCAGCCCTCTGCAGTATTTGCTCTACATTAGAAGTGCGGTGTTTGGGGCCAGAGAGATGGCTCAGTGGTTAAGAACACTGGCTGGTCTTGCAGAAGACTGGAGTTCAGATCCCAGCACCCACATGGTGGTTAACAGTCTCTAACTTCAGTTACAAGAGATCTGTTGCCCTCTTCTGACCTCTGCAGGCATTGCACGACACAATTGCACTTACATACATGCAAACAATACACTCATACGCACACACAAATAATAAATAAAATGTTTTTTAAAAAAGAAGTGCAGTGTTTTCAGCCACCATGTCTCCTCTGTCACACACTGTGCACACACCACATACGTCTGGACCATGGCGGCCTCACTGCCTGGGCCCTGCCCCACAGCTGAGCCCCAGGAGGCAAGGGTATCTGTGCTCAGCCCTGTGCACCATCCCTTGCCTGGAGTCCCAGCTCCGTTGATGTTTCGCTCCCACTTTTCTTCTCTCTTCTTTTCCTCCTTTCCCACTGATTCAGAAGTTGGCCCTCGGTGCCTGCTCATTTGTCAGTTTGCTCTTGGCAAGTAACCATCGTATCTAACTGGCAGTGGCACACAGCGCTTCTCCTGTTCCCCCACTCCATGCCCCTCACAGCAACCCCCAGCTACCTGGCTGGTAACTTAGTCTTTGCTTTATTTATAAGTCCACAGCAGGGGTTTCTGTGGTTTTATGCCACCCATCTTGGCTTTGCTTTCCATTTTCTACCTTGTTCACCTCTTGGGTCTCTACAGCAGATCCTGTCTTCTGCCTCAATGTATCCTATAGAATGGCCTTGTCCAGGAGGGATGTAATGCTCACCATGTAGGCAACTAGGAAATTTCCAGTAGCCATGCTAAGATAAGAAAAAACAGGCAAAAATAATTTTGATAATATATTTTAATACAATCCACATGTGAAAAATATAAAAATAATCACATTTATATTTTCTTCAGACATACCTAGGACATTAGATGGCATCGCTTTAGGGGACCCTCAGTGAGTGCCATAGCACACTCTGGGTGTAAATGTGTTCTTATCTCAACCTGAATATGAGGAGACTGCCCTGTAGGGCATAATCACACTAGTGGGGCAGTGGGTGGAGGGCTGGAAGAGCAGGATAGCCTGGGACTTGAGGGCCAGGATGTAGATGAAGACTGAAGGTCTGGTCAGCAGGGCTTCCAGAATGGACAAGCTGGGCAACTTGGTGGTTCTCTCTGCTTGCCGTTTCCTCCTTCAGCTTCTGGAGACCCTTGCTCATATCCTGTCCTTCTTGCCACTTGCCCTATTTATGACCAGGTAGAGCATGGCTTGGATCATGAGGAGCAAGGACTAGAGTTGGTGGCCTAGCTCTACCAAAACACTCTGTCTCCAGTGTCCCAGGATACTTGGGGTGCTTATAGCACACCCTTTCAACCCACAACAGTGACATTAGTCCCCTGAGGCTTAACCACAGCCTGGGCAGTGAGCATTCTCCTACATCTGACAGAGTAAGTTAATGGTATTTGACTTGCACTGCAGAACTGAAAATAATTCTGAGCTTAACTGAACATATGGTTTCTCCAAATAAACCAAAGAAGAGATTTAACTGACCTAGTGATGCTGAGTTAAAAATTATCTTTAGAGGTTTTTTTTTTTTCCTACATTAAAGGTTGTTTCCTACATTACTGATTCTAGCAGAAAAATGGCACAAGGTCACTCTTTCCTGGGCCTGGCTCTACCCACCCATATGTTGAGAATAGTGCTGCCCTGGAGCAAAAATGAAAGACAGTGCACTTCACCTAGGGCAAGTCTTCACAAGTGCAAATACTTTGAATAAACCCTGAGGTCTCCAGAAAGGAGGCCGAGGTAACTGTGACACTCAGACTTGGTTTGGTATTTTGCATTTATGAAGCCACTGAGTCTGTCCTACATGTTGTGCCCATGTGTTTACTTCACTTAGTGCTCTCAGTGACCTCTTGTTTTCTCCCTTCTATGTCCCTGGCGATGGTCCTTACTCTAAAACACTTTTGTTCTTGTTGTTTTGGTTTTTTTTTATTTGTTTTTTGAGACAAGGTCTCCCTCTAGCTCCAGATGGCTTGAAAAATCACTATGTAGACCAGACTGGCCTCAATTTCACAGAGATCCACCTGCTTCTGCCTCCCGAATGTTAGGATTAAAAGTGTGTTCCACCACACCCAATGATGAAACCTCTTTTATCTAGTGTTCGTTAGACACAGTAACTTCCTATTAGTTAGAGTTAGGCTGGTATTGCCTTTACTGTGGTTACTGACAGGTTTGGATTTCAGGCAACTTGCTATTTGTAGTCTGTCATGCTCTGTTTTTGTCCCTTTCTTCTCTGCCTGTCCTCATCATGTGCTCTTGAGACTCTACCATCACTGGCTCATTAGCATCCCTCCTCAGTGCCATGGCCTTCTGCTGACACACACCATCCCAGGCATAGTCCCCTCATCCCTCCTGGCCTTTGTTGTCCCCTGGGATGGGGGGGTGTCTCAGCTTCTTTGCCACTTAGTGGGCTCTGCCTGAGTCACCTATCCTGCCCTATACCATGCAACTCAGCAGTTACCAAGGCTCTGGTCCTTAATAAATCATGGTTCCCGATGACCAGCACTTCAAGTTTGTCCGTTTTCCTCATGGGGGTGGGCAAGCAAATCTGAGCCCCATTATTATCCCTTGGCCAAGGGGCCCATTGAATCTTGTCAGTGGTGTCAGATTGCTGGTGGTCAAAGTGACAGTGGGGTATGGACACTGGCTGACTGTTCCTGGCACTCATCACAGATTCTCAGCTTTACTGTCCCCTAATTCTACAATCTGTCACTGGCTATTAACAGCTGTTTTCTTTTTTAAAGGTCAAGTTAACAAATTCCAAAGGAAAGGACTTTTGTGGTGGTGTTCTAATTCAGGAAGACTTTGTATTGACAACAGCAAAATGTTCATTACTATACAAAAATATTAGTGTGAAAGCAAGTAAGTATTTTTCATGAATTTTATAACATCACCTATATAGGAATAAAATGAAAAAATTTAACCTGGAAATTTTGTTTCTAATGCAAGACACAAATTTACCTTCAATACTGTGATAGTTATGAAACCGCAAACATCTGCAAGCATGACACACCTAGAATGTAGCAAGCAAATGCTAACCAACATTCAGTGCAGGAATCTCAACAGTGGGGCATCCATGGTGACACAGATGGCAGAAGGTCACAGGGGCCAGATTCCAATTCCTCATGTGGGGCCTTGGGCTGTGAGCCTATTTCATCTCAAGCTAATCTGTAGCCTTTTTCCATCTCTAAACATGGGCAATCATTTCTCCCCACTGGAAAGTTGCAAAGATCCCATAGTCAGCACCAGATGTGCTTGACAGCAAATGTGAAGACCCTTTCAGTGTGAGTGCTTCACAATCCTTAAATACTTGAGTGATCTAGTATAATCACTGACCTAAAAACTCCAGAGCAGCTCTTGGCTACAGAAGTTTCTCTTCACTGCCTTTTTTCTAACAATTTCTCATGTCCTACTGTATTTCAGAATAAAAGTGTTTGACTTTTTTTAGAGGACCATGTAAATAGGCCAAGGAAATGAGTTGGCCTGGCCCAAGCTATGATCTGTATTCAAATCCTAAAAGAAGCCTGAAGGATACAGGGAATTCAGCCAGGCCATCCTCAGGCACAGCCTCTGCTCTATCATGGCCTCGCTGAGAAATTAGTTCCTGAAAACAAGACTAAAGTTGCCCTTGATTGCTTATGATTTCAGATGCTGATGGGCGGAGTGAGGACCAACCTATAGTCAGGATCAGGCACACTCATGTGCACATGCGTTACGACGAGGAGTCAGGGCAGAATGATGTCTCTTTGCTGGAGCTAGAACAGCCCTTACAGTGTCCCAACTTGGGGCTCCCTGTCTGCATTCCTGAGAGAGACTTTGCTGAGCATGTCCTTATCCCTGGGACACAGGGCCTCCTTAGTGGCTGGACACTCAACGGTATGAACCTGGGTACTACATTACTGATGCTGCCAGTCACTCACATGGATGGGGAGGAATGTGGACAGGCCCTGAATGTGACCGTCACAACGAGGACAATCTGTGAGAAGAGCAGCATGATGGCTGGGAAGTTGGTGGAGGGGAGTGTGGTCACTAGAGAACACAAGGGTACCTGGTTCCTCACTGGGATTCTAGGCTCACAGCCAGCAACAGGGCAGGAACATACATTCCTCCTCACCACTGTTTCAAGATACTTGCTCTGGTTTAAACAGATCATGAAGTAGCTGAGAGTCAGCTAGTCAGAAAGGGCCAAATACATGGTAGAATTCCAAATTTCAGTGCAGCCAAGGGAACAGATTGAAGTCCTGCAACAAACAGTTCCAAGGCTATCAGATCCTAACAGTATCAGTTACTACTGGATATTGATGTTTCCTGGGATTTTTTTTTTTTCTGAGACAGGGTCTCATGTTGCCCTGGCTAGCCTGGAACTATGTAGACAGACTGGCCTCAAACTGAGCTCCACCAGCCTCTGTCTCCTGAGTGCTAGGATTAAAGGTATGTGTGCCACCAAGCCCAGTCTGAAACATTTTTTTCAACTATCATGTTTCTTGAAAATTTCAAACATGTACACAATGAAATATAACCATTTCCACTTCCCATTTCCCTCCTCCAACTTCTCCCATATTTCCCCAAGATGTGCCCCTCCCAACTTTTATTGTTGTCACTAACTTGGGTCAAATCAGTGCTGCCCATATGTGCATGGTGTGGAGCCATATACTGGATCACAGGAAGCCAACCAGTGGGAACACCCTCAAAAAAGAATTATTCTTGGGCTGGAGAGGTGGCTCAATGGTTAAGAGCACTGGCTGCTTTTTCAGAGGTCCTGGGTTCAGTTCCCAGCACCCACATGGCAGCTAACAACGATCCCTAACTCCAGTTCCAGGGGAGCTGATGTCCTCTTCTGACCTCCTCAGGCACTGCATACACACAGAGCACCTACATACGTGCGGGCAAAACACTCATACACATAAAATAAAAATAAATAAGCTAGGCGTGGTGGCGCACACCTTTAGTCCCAGCATTCAGGAGGCAGAGGCAGGCATATTTCTGTGAGATCAAGGCCAGCCCGGTCTACATAGCAAGTTACAGGCCAGCTGGGGCTACAGGGACACCTTGTCTCAAAAAAAAAAAATTAAAATTAAAAACTTTTTTTTTAAATTATTTAATAACCACATGATTAGAAGCATTTCATTACAGCATTAACATATTCAATAACAATTTCCAGAGCAAAGATGCTTCTCTTTCAAAATTAGCTGTAAAATTTGAGGTTCACAGTTAAATTAATACAGTTATACAATATTGAACTCAGTATAACCCTTATAAGACATAAAATTGAATGAGGTTTTAACTTTTTTTTTAAATTACAACATAGAATAAGTAGATGGCTATGAAACATCTTAAAAGATGTTCAACATCACTAATAATCAGGGAAATGCAAATTAAAACCACTTTAAGA